TTTAAAATAGTGCCTGATTGGTAATTAAACATTAGAAATCATAAATTTTAGTTTGAATTTCATTTGTTTTGGAACTGGTTAGGGAAATTGCAGTTGACAAGATGCTTGGTAATTGTGTGAAAGAGATGATTTTTGAAGGAACAAATATCCTGAAGGTTTTGTTAATTTTGTTTAATTTAAGATACATAAACATTGCCTTTTTGACATAACTGTTTTGCTGGTTTTTTATTTTGTAATGGATGCATTAAGTGTAATGATCTAATTCAAAATAAAAATTTAACTTTGAAATCTATATTTTAATTCATTGCATAAATATATTAAAATGGCAATACAACATAGTTATTGGAATATAAATGTAATTAATATCGTTTGGCATTAAAACTTCTTAATTAAAACAACAAATAAATGCTTTCAATGGTGTATTATCTTCCTCAGGAAAACTAAGTATAATTGAGCATTGAATATTAGAATGTGTAACAAAAATTCAAGAGAACATAAAGGCTTGACACACACTTTTTTCTTAACATTTTTGCATTCAATATGTTAAGAATTTAAACTTCAGTTTATTTTTTTTTTTTGTACTGTGAAAAAGTTTATTAATATATTTTAAAATACAGTGGTATCTCAGTATACGTCTGCTTTAGAATATGTCCAATTCGGAATACGTCCTGTTTGGACGAAACAAATTTTGCTTGGTATAAGACTTTTGTTCGGTATATGACTTAATATAATTATACGTGCCATTTATGAACAAGTAGCACTATCGGTGTACTAGACCAGACTAGACGTTTGCTGTGCACAGTTTATAACAGGGGTGGGCAAGCAAGAGTTCAGTGGGAGCCGAAATGTAGGTTTTGCAAAATGCGTGGGAGCCTCAATTCTGTATTTTTTATTCTATACCACGATTTTATTATATAACTAGCTGTTACCCACGACTTTGCCCGCGGTGGTTTTGCAAGCAAACCCCATTTATATTCACTATTTCAACAATCATAGTAATTGTTACATAACACCTACCGCTGAAAATAATGAGAATTGCCAAAAATCAAATTAACTATTTTTAATTTGATCAATCGTTCTATAATCAAACCAATATGCAGTAACAAATTTGAATTTAAAATGGTTCAAACATTTGGTTAAAAAATCGAAATAGATAAAAATGTTTATAACAATGTCTGAAATGTTATCAATTTAATACACCTAAGTACTCAATGAAGACTAAACATAGTTGAAAACAAAAAATTGCATCTAAAATAGTGCAGTAGAAGCTGTTCTTCTGGTTAAGTCTTAATCCTCTCCCTCTCCCCCACGGGGGAATTTCGAAAAATCCTTTCTTAGTGTGTGTTTTCATGATGTACCCTAATTGTGTACTAAATTTTACCTCTAGGTTCAGCGGTTTGCTCTGGGCGATGATGAGTCAGTCAGGACAAGCAATTTTACATATTTAGATATAAATATAATATAATACAAAAACAAATGTTTATTTTTTTATAATTAATATATTTTCACAAAATTGTGGAAATAAAATTGTAAAAATAATAATAAAAAGCAGAAATGAACACTTTCAGCAAGAGCCACATGTAACTCAGAGCTGCATTTGCCCATGCCTGGTGTATAACTGTTAAATTTCTTCTGATTTTAATTTGTAAGTAAAATTTTATTATTTTTATTAATCATGAATTGCAAAAAAGCAAATGAAAAGCAACAGAAAACTAAAAAAATGACCAGAATCATGATGGAACTGACGAGATTGTTGAGAAATATGAAGGTGGCATGTGTGTTTGAGATTTTAACTGTTGCATACTGTATTCCGAGAACGACAATATTGACAACCGTGAAAAATAAAGACATTATTAAATCTGCTAACATTGAGAAAGGGGTTAAATCAATTTCTAAACAGAGATCGAAGACATTAGATCATGTTGAGAAATTGCTTTTGCTTTGGATAACTGAAAAACACTGTGCTGGAGACAGCGTATCATAAGCAATTATTTGTGAGAAAGCTAAAAAGATACATGCTGATCTCATGAAAAATCAAGCAGGAACTAGCCAGGAAAGTGAGGTGTTTCAAGCCAGCCATTTTTTTTTTAACATGAGAATGGATTAATCATTTTTACATTACTTCTTATGGGAAAGGTTGGTTTGGTATAAGTCCAAACATCAGGAATGGATTAAGGTTGTATACCCAAGGTTCCACTGTATGCAGTTGAAATGGGACAGATGGTGGAATATCATCATGGCAGAAATCATATCCATGAATTGCTTTCAATTCTAATAATTGATGTATTAATTAGAATTTAATTCTGATCATAATTTAATCCCATGAATTCCAAGAGCATTTGTTTTTAGAACTAGATTCAAACCTTAAACCTGAACTCAAATATAAACAAACATCCCTTTTACACTAATGTTACAAGAAAGCTTTAATAGTGCTTTAGTTATCCCTGAAGATAAGCAAACAAAATATAAATGTTAAAACAAAACATTTTATGTTAAATGTTCAAAATCCCAAATTCAGTGTTCAGTGTTACATGAACAGACAATTTTGTCCTTTTTGGNTGTAACTCAGAGCTGCATTTGCCCATGCCTGGTGTATAACTGTTAAATTTCTTCTGATTTTAATTTGTAAGTAAAATTTTATTATTTTTATTAATCATGAATTGCAAAAAAGCAAATGAAAAGCAACAGAAAACTAAAAAAATGACCAGAATCATGATGGAACTGACGAGATTGTTGAGAAATATGAAGGTGGCATGTGTGTTTGAGATTTTAACTGTTGCATACTGTATTCCGAGAACGACAATATTGACAACCGTGAAAAATAAAGACATTATTAAATCTGCTAACATTGAGAAAGGGGTTAAATCAATTTCTAAACAGAGATCGAAGACATTAGATCATGTTGAGAAATTGCTTTTGCTTTGGATAACTGAAAAACACTGTGCTGGAGACAGCGTATCATAAGCAATTATTTGTGAGAAAGCTAAAAAGATACATGCTGATCTCATGAAAAATCAAGCAGGAACTAGCCAGGAAAGTGAGGTGTTTCAAGCCAGCCATTTTTTTTTTAACATGAGAATGGATTAATCATTTTTACATTACTTCTTATGGGAAAGGTTGGTTTGGTATAAGTCCAAACATCAGGAATGGATTAAGGTTGTATACCCAAGGTTCCACTGTATGCAGTTGAAATGGGACAGATGGTGGAATATCATCATGGCAGAAATCATATCCATGAATTGCTTTCAATTCTAATAATTGATGTATTAATTAGAATTTAATTCTGATCATAATTTAATCCCATGAATTCCAAGAGCATTTGTTTTTAGAACTAGATTCAAACCTTAAACCTGAACTCAAATATAAACAAACATCCCTTTTACACTAATGTTACAAGAAAGCTTTAATAGTGCTTTAGTTATCCCTGAAGATAAGCAAACAAAATATAAATGTTAAAACAAAACATTTTATGTTAAATGTTCAAAATCCCAAATTCAGTGTTCAGTGTTACATGAACAGACAATTTTGTCCTTTTTGGGACAAATTTATAAAAATAAACTTTTTTCTTTTTAAAATTTAGTTTACTTAACTAATGTATTTAAATGTTCTTAAGCAAGAAAATCTTTCTTAAATGAATGTTAAATCTCACTATTATTGTCCTTTGTTTTAGATTGAGTTCATGTCATTAATAAAAATTTTTCTGCAAAAAATTTTCTCAATTTAAAATTTAGCTGTGTCAACTGATACTCCTTATTTCCCCTAATGCTACAGTCCACAAATTCCTTCTCTTATAACATTACCTGAAATACTAATTAGTTGTTTTTAGTATCTGTAAAATACAGCTTTTCCATTTTCTATTTGTCTCCATAAAAATTCTTGTATTATGGATATTTCCTTTTTACTATTTGTGCAGTAGTATTTCACATTTTTAGATGAAAAATAATGACTTGCTAGTTTTAATATTTGAAGATGATTTAGAAAACCTTAAGAACAAAATAATGTCTGAAAATAAGATGCAGAAAGTGCTTTGGTTTTTTTTGTATTTAGAAAAATATACAATACTTTCATTTTGAGCTTTAATTTTTTTCTGCTAAAAACAAACTTTTGCAAGCATTTTTTAAATTATGTAGTTCTGTTACTAAGTTAGTGATAAGAGAATGTATTAAAACTTTTTAAAAAGTTTGATAATTTAATTCCTTTAATTAAATTAATATATTTTTTCAATGGTGTATTATCTTCCTCAGGAAAACTAAGTATAATTGAGCATTGAATATTAGAATGTGTAACAAAAATTCAAGAGAACATAAAGGCTTGACACACACTTTTTTCTTAACATTTTTGCATTCAATATGTTAAGAATTTAAACTTCAGTTTATTTTTTTTTTTTGTACTGTGAAAAAGTTTATTAATATATTTTAAAATACAGTGGTATCTCAGTATACGTCTGCTTTNGGATTATTTATCATTCTAAAAAGGCTAATAATCCAGCAGTTTGACATTAGTAATTGAATCACTAATGAATATATTATATATACATTGTCAGAATACATTTTACATACATACTTTTTGGAATTTTGCACAAGTTTCACTATGTCAAATAGACAAGCATAAAATTTTGACAGCATGAATGTTTTTGGAAGTAGTCCTTTTTAAATGCTTTCAAACTTTATGAAATTTTCTAGTTTTCAGTTTTAATGTATAAATTTAAGTAACTAAATCATTAACACAATTTATTTTTAATACATTAATTTTTAAAAATGTTCTATTGAAGTTCAAAAGCTTAATGCATGATTTAAAACACATTCGATTTTTTTTTCTGTAACAATATTCTCAGGTAAAAATTAAAGTATTGCTTTTTCCTATGATTATCTATATGCATAGTTAACTTTCAAAATGTTATTAAAGAACACTGCATTAACTTATATTTTGTTGTTTAACTTAATATCCTGGTTACTGAATTTTGTTTTCTGAAAATGAATAATTCAAAATTATTTTTTCAGATTTACTTCACTGTACAAATGAACCAAATGTATCTATACCTCAACTGGCCAATTTATTGATAGAGCGAACACAGCATTCAAGTTGGGTTGTAGTATTTAAAGCTTTAGTTACTGTACATCATTTAATGTGCTATGGAAATGAGGTATGAAATTTATTATAAAATCCTTTTATTTTTACATACTATAAAATAACATTTTATTTCAGAGGTTTACTCAGTATTTGGCCTCAAGTAATTGTACTTTTCAACTCAGCAATTTTCTGGACAAAAGTGGTGTACAAGGTTAGTAATTTGATATTTAAAATTGCATTAAAAATACCGAAAGCTTTGGCTAACAAAAACTTAAACTGAAAGGTTAAGAGTTTTAATTTAAGGATGTTTGTTTTATTTCTTTTTGTAAATTTGTTCTCTAATAACAAATTTTAATTGGAGTAAATGAAATTTAATCTGTGATCTTTGTTACTATAAGCTAATATTAAAAATTATATCTAATCTTAAGATTTCATACATTTTGATTTTTCTGTAACAAGATAACCGTTTTTATTGCAGAATAATCTAAATATTCTGAAAACTTAACTGGTTTTTGTAAAATTTGAATTGCTACGTTAGGAAAANCAGTCATGAATTGAGTCTGTAAACAATAGTTCCGATATTCCAAAAGAGTTTAATATTCTTCGAATTTTATATTGCCATAACTGTTTATTATTGTTGTTTTTACTTTGTTTTACCATTACTTTCAAAATGTTATTAAAGAACACTGCATTAACTTATATTTTGTTGTTTAACTTAATATCCTGGTTACTGAATTTTGTTTTCTGAAAATGAATAATTCAAAATTATTTTTTCAGATTTACTTCACTGTACAAATGAACCAAATGTATCTATACCTCAACTGGCCAATTTATTGATAGAGCGAACACAGCATTCAAGTTGGGTTGTAGTATTTAAAGCTTTAGTTACTGTACATCATTTAATGTGCTATGGAAATGAGGTATGAAATTTATTATAAAATCCTTTTATTTTTACATACTATAAAATAACATTTTATTTCAGAGGTTTACTCAGTATTTGGCCTCAAGTAATTGTACTTTTCAACTCAGCAATTTTCTGGACAAAAGTGGTGTACAAGGTTAGTAATTTGATATTTAAAATTGCATTAAAAATACCGAAAGCTTTGGCTAACAAAAACTTAAACTGAAAGGTTAAGAGTTTTAATTTAAGGATGTTTGTTTTATTTCTTTTTGTAAATTTGTTCTCTAATAACAAATTTTAATTGGAGTAAATGAAATTTAATCTGTGATCTTTGTTACTATAAGCTAATATTAAAAATTATATCTAATCTTAAGATTTCATACATTTTGATTTTTCTGTAACAAGATAACCGTTTTTATTGCAGAATAATCTAAATATTCTGAAAACTTAACTGGTTTTTGTAAAATTTGAATTGCTACGTTAGGAAAAAGGTTCAGAAATTTTGTTTAAGACTTACAGCAATTTGCTATATTAAATCTGATGGAAAGTTTCAAATTCTTTCAAGAGTTTATTTTCAATATTATTTATGTAATTAAGGGTTATGAAAATTGTTATCATCTTTGTAACTGAGTAATAAAAAGAAGGCTTTCAGAAAAAGCCATGATTAATTTAAATTTAAAAAATTTAGTCAAAATCTAGTCTTAGCTTAAAAATTGAATATAGCATTGAATATCTAAATTAATTTTCTGAACAGTTAAAATTTCTGAAATTGAAATAAATGCAATAGAACATAAAAACAAATCCTGAATTAAATTCTTGAATTTGCACAATTTTGTGCAAATTCAAGGGTAAGCAATTGGGTAAATTTTGCTATTAAATTCTTGTAGAAAGAAAAATTTCAATTTACCATCCTTATCTAAGCATTGCTAATTTCATGTGCACATTGTATGTTAATAATATAACTATGCTGTCCCAAAACAAATTAAAATTGCTTTTAACATTTTATGGTATCATTTGAGTTTTTTTAATATAATCATTTCATGGTCAAAATGAGAACATGGCTTATTGAAAGAGTATTTGACATTTATTAAGGTTCTTTTTTAGTAGAAATATTTGCATTTTATAATTAGTTTACAGGTAACCGCCATATAACACGGCACTTCTATAGCATGGATTCACTCTAAAATGGTTCAAGAATTGGGTAAAACCCTCGTACAACATGAAATGTAATAAATTTTCACACATTTAATAATTTTCGTGAACTATTTAGTACTTAAATATGTAAATTTACTTTTCCCACCTTCTGTCGATACACGTGGTCCTTCTCGAAACTTGTTTCAGTGTTGCCAGATTTCAACACTTCTGATTTTGGTGTTTTCAGTTTTTCCCTTATTCCATACTTGCTTTATTCTTCATAAGTGTTTAGCACCATATAAGGAAATTTATAAAGATATTTTAACTAAAAGCAAGCAATCTAGAATAACATATTTTTTGCAAAAGGTAGAGCATGGATCTGAAGATAATGCAGAAAAATGCTCAGAGGATTAGGATATCTTGCCAAAAAGAAAATGCCCTTGGTTAATAGTGCTTTGTGATGATGAAGAAAACATTGTTTATTAAAATTTTCTTAAGTAATACATATTAATATAAATTAAAGATATTTATCTTAATTATGAAAATATAATAGCATGTTTTTTAATTTTTGGAATCTAACCCCTCCTTTTGTACTACTTCTTTGTTTCGTATAACATGGATTCACATAACATGGCAATTTTTTGAAATTACTCCAGTGTTATATGGGGGTTAACTGTATTTTGAATTTTTTACAATTTAGCCTTTTTTGGATCTTAATGTACTCTGCATTTCCATTCATATTACTACTTTTTTAAAATTTAAAGTTTTAGAAAGTTTTCAATAAAAATTGAAAGGAAAATATTTTAGCAATTTTCAATTCCAGATCAACTTCTTAGCAAAGTTTGTTCTGAAATAATAATAGGTTACATAAATATACACACACTCACATTCATTCACATTCATTTAAAAACTCATATAAATTTTTTTTAAATACTCAAATTTTTGAAAATACTTGATGTAAGAATACCACATCCTTAAACAGTGGTATCCTCTCATATATATATTTATTAATACTAGAATCACAAAATTATATATATATATATCTTTTGTGATTCTAGTATTAATAAAATTTTTATATTAAAAATACTTCATGCTTTTGTTTCCTTAAATGCATCAAAAATTTTGAGACAAGCTTCTTAATTGAATATAAATAATTTATATTAATATAATATTTTACTTTGATGTATTCATTATTTTAGAAATTTTTATGTAAATTCTAAATGTTATTCACATGTTACTAATTTGCTGATTTTTTTTGTATTTTTAGGTTATGATATGTCAACTTACATAAGACGCTATGCAAAATACTTGAATGAAAAAGCAGTAACTTACAGAACAGTTGCTTTTGATTTTTGTAAAGTGAAGAGAGGGTAAGAATTAAGCTAATTATTTACTGTTAAATCAATATTTAAAAATTTTTATTAATATAGATGTCTAAAATTTATTGACTGCATTAACATAATAAAACATTGTCAGTGCATAAAGAGAGCTTGCTTCTTAAGCCAAAATTTATTATTATTATTATTTTTTTTTTGGCACCATCAATCAAAATAAGTTTCATTTCTACTTTTCAAATATAAACACTAATAGGGAAAGTTTAACTTACAGTAGCATTTTATTATGGACTTTGATGCCCCATAACAATTTCTAATAAAAACAAAAATACAAGGGACAAACCAAAAGCTAAAGAAATAGAAAAATTGAAGTTAAGAAGTTTTTGCAATAAACATTTCAGTTCCTGTATCTAAGCCAGAGACACTAAAAATTTAAACTGACATGTATGATATACTGCAGTAAAATTTATTCAGTTTATATCTAGGCTTCATAAAACAAAATTGAGTATTGCATTGCATAAAATGATTATGCTGGAATTAAAGGATTTGGTGTGTTTTACTGTGTACACCAAAAACAGTTTGGATTTTAACTTAAGTCCAACTGTTATTTCTCTATTTGCAGCACAAATAGAAATCAAATCACTATTTGATGCAAAGTCTTGTGATGGCTATTCTTGTTAACTCGCTTTCATTTTGGTCAATAAATTTTAGATTCCCTATGATATTAATATTGCTATTAAATGAATTTAACTTAATTGATAGTATTTGACTTTTGAATAATTTTAGTAAAATTTAAAAAAATTTTGAGCATGGAAAACTTACTTTCAGATACCTTGTTTAGCTTTATTAGTTAATTGTTAAAAGTATTAAAAGTTAAATTTTTTGGAAATATGGCTTCTAAAATAGTGTTTGTATTTTAAGTAAACCATATAAATTAATGAAAAGTAGCATTCATAATAAATCTTATTATACTACTTATTAGGAAATATTTTCTCAAATTTTGTTTGTGCAATTATCTTTTCTTAATTTATATGAAATACAAAAATTATGAATGCAAATCTGTTTTGTGGCTGCCAGCATGCACATGTATATGTAGAATAGTAAGAAATTTAATCTCTAGATTTGAGAACTTTTTTAATGTGTTAAAATCCAGAATTAAATAGGCTGCCCTTTGTTGTAAGTTTAGGTTTAAAATTTTAGTTCAGATTATTTGTTAGTTTGGCTAAGTAATTGGTTACACTCATTAATAGCATGATATGCAAATATTACTTTATGTAACATTTCTTGTTCTCTATTACAGTAGTTATTTAAATAATAGAAATCTAATCTTTAATGCTACTTTTCATTAACATATAGTAGCACAGTTAACAATTGTATTTGATAGATTTCAAAAATCAACAATATTTTAGATATAGAATGTTTGTTTTAAGAAGTGGGGAACTAAAATGTTAAATATTGTAAAAATCAGTTTTCTTTCAATATTGAAGAGGGATTGGATAAACTAAGAATGCATATTGCTAATTTAAATGTAAGAATTTTGATTGAATTCAACATGTACATATTGTTTCATTATTACCTTGTTAAAGTGTAACTATTTGGACATTTTCTAAAATTAGACTTAAAAACCTGTTGGCCTATGGGAGTAGGCTGAAAACATTTGTTAATAAAAATTCTCAGCAAATGCACAGGTATTTTAGTAAGTTTATAATTTATCTCTGCTGAGTACTTCTTGACTGTTCTTTGAAATACTTTTAGTTGTAAAGTTAATTGTTTAACTTGTTAAATTTTTGAACTTAAACCAAAATAGGTTTTTGTGCATTAATACCCAAAATTCAAAAAAATTTTGCACAGCAACTTGGTCTGGTATCATGCTAATTTCATATTCATAATGTTAGTGAATTAATAAATTAAATAAAATCAATTACAATACTTCAGAGATCTTTTTAATACTTTTATTTTACATATTCTCATGCATGGTTTCTTAAATCCTGTTTAATAGAGAAGTCATTTAATTACAGTAGAGCATTGTTTATCAGAAAGTCAGTTATCTGAAAGAATTTCAGTTGGCAAATTTAAATTTTCGCTAGTGCTGTGGTGCTGCAATCTTTGGCTATGTCTTGGGCTACTCCAATATTTTTTTTGTGTGTCTTTTAGCTGGCGGCACTGGCACTTTTGTGTGGTGTTTTTCTGAGGACTGTCATGCTGAATCGAATGTTTTTGATACTAGATTAACTTCTGAAGTAAATTTTTTTTTGCTTTATATTTTTCAATATATTTATTTTGTTTTGTACAAGATAAAGAAATAATTTTTAACGATACAATAGCCACGATTATTATTTTAAAAAGTTAGGCTTAATATCGACGAAAATTCAGCGTGAAGCAACACACAATGGAGAAAAATTTCAGCATGGGATAAGTTAGTATATTTTTTTCATACATAATCGGTTATCTGAAAAATAAGTTATCCAAACAATCCCAGTCCCCAATTGATTTGGATAAACAATGCTCTACTGTATAGCATTTTGAGAACTTTCTGAATCTATCACTGGAACAGGCTGTTGCTATTCATAATGAAGTTTGAAAAAAGTTATATGAAGAGTATTTCTAAGGCATTGTGTATATAATTCAAACAGTATTGCATTTAATATATAGTTATTATAGCATAACCTCTAAAATTTCTGAATATTTTTGATTTTAATGTTAAATCGTTTTGTAGGAAAGAAGATGGAATATTAAGAACAATGAACACTGATAAAGTAAGATGTTTTTATTATTTTGATTAATTTTTACTACATAATTGTTTGGAAGCTTAGTGTAACTTTATTTTTTTGAATTTGCATTATCAATTTTCAATAAAATGCTAGTTTTTCTAATTTGTATATTTCATATAACCAAAATTGGCCAAAAAGTAATTTGATAGAAATTGAATTAAACTCCAATAATTTTGAGTTTTAGTTAAGCAAATAAATTCAATAAAATTAAACTTATTCAATAATGGGCTTTGAACTAGTCAGTTACCAGTCCAGAATGTTACCATGATCATCTATATTTAACATGCATTAATTTAAAATTAGAATTTTAGTTATTCAGAATGTTTAGTATTTTTCTTTTTAATCATGAACATTTCTTTATGTATCCAACAAGTGTTTAAATTTAATTTCAAGAACAAATTATTAGAAAACTTTGAACTGAAGATTTAGGTAGTTATCTAATGTTAAAAAGTTACAATATTACAAATTTCTATGAGAATTCAAAAAATATTATGCAGATAAGTTTTTCATAAGTTCAGATTTTGTTTTACTAATGTAACAAAATAAGTTTTTTGAAACGATAATTAAACTATTTATTGATGTAAATGATAAAGAAAAATTCTTGAAAGCTTGCTTCTAAAATTTTAAATATTTGTCTTTAATAACATTTAGTTGAATTCTAAGTTTGTGCTCTAGCATTCCTCCTAAAGTGCAGAAAATTTTCACTGATTTGGATCAGACTCATTGATCTGAAAATATATTTCTATTGTAGTAGTGGACACACAATGGAAAATTTTTGACAACAGTAGTTTGTACAAAATAGATAACTAGAACATTTGGAAAGTTCCTCAAAAATAGTGCATTTTTATCTGTACAAAATTAATTCAGTCAGGAATTGGTTTCTGGTGGAAATAAGCAGGAAACATTGTGACAGTCAAAAAATGGTCTCCCTCAGATTTTTACATTTTTTGGATTTGGAACCTTAAAATGTCAAAATACGGGGAAAAATCTGAACTTTTTTGTAAGTATGGATGTTAGTGTGTGAGGGGGGGTGTACAATTTTGTTCACCCTGTTTGAAGCTTAACTCCTGTTCTTTGTCATATTTCTGAAATTTTGCAGTGAGGTTTGTTTATTAGGGGATTGATGCTTTTAAATTTTGGTGATTTGAAGGGGGTGGGAGATATTGGAGATACACGACCCCCCCCCATTAGGATCAAACTTAATGACTATTTCTCGTTATTAGCATTTTACAGTTTTTTTTATAAAATTTATCCCTATCCTCAAAATTAAACTTTTTGCCGTTTTATAATAGTTAAAAATATATATTTTATTTTAAAAACTTTTTATAACAGATAGTGCCCCTGCAAATTTTAAATGTTGCAAGGAAAGTTGAGCAACTCATTGCTGGTTTATTTTTGATGTCAGTTTCACATCTCTAGTTGAAATAATTTTTAACTCCTGAAGTTAGAAAATGTGGCAAATGAATATCAAGGGGACAACAGCACTAAATTTCACCCTAGCTGTTGAATTTTAAATTTTTCCAAGAAAATACAACTAACCTTCAGGCCAATGCTTAAATCAAATTTGGTTGAGATTTGCTTCAGTTTTCTAGAGTTCTGAATAACTACTTACTTTTCAATTGTAATCACTGTACTTCATTTAGCTTTAAGATATTAATCCTTGATAAAAATATTTATCTTAATAAAATACAGAAATATCCACTAGTATTGCATTTGATTAATCTAGGCTAACATAACTGGAAACTAAATCAATTTCTTTTAAGGTCAGACTTTACCTTATAAGTAAGTGGTGGTGATACTTTGTGACATTTTAAAATGCAAAAGGATAGTGTAACTGATTTTACAAGAAAAAGCTAGTTTACAAGAACATTATTAATATTCTCGACAATCCTCCTGTATATTGATAGCTATCAAAAATATTAATAAAATCAAACCTTATTGATACTTTATTTTGTAAATATTATACTACAGGTATACCTCGATTATGTGTCATTCTCGATTATGTCGTTTTTCAAAAAATGTGGAAAAATAAAAATCAAGTTTAAGTCATTTTATTTGACTTTACATCTGTCTGCCACAAATATTGAAGTTGTAATATCACTAGAAAAGTGTTAAAGCACACAAAATCATATTAAAATATGTACATTACTGTAAATGTTAATATAATCATCATAAATCTTAGAGAATGAAACATGAAAACATCTGTGTTTGTGTTGTCATCTTATTTAGCGGTCTTTAAGTGCTCAATATTGGTGTTTTCCACGGTAGCTCCAATATCTATCATTTGGCATCATCAGCCCCACTCGATATTGGTAAATTTAATGTAAATTAGTTTATTTTCTACTGTCGCAAAATAATTTTAATAACTGTTTGTTATTTAACCTTACAAAATCATATTTTATAATGTCTTAGAGCAAACCACATTCACAAATAGAGTCCGCGATGTACTGTAAACATGTACATTTACAAGTATGTACTGTATATACATGAATTCGTAAATTTACATTACTTTTTTTTCTGTACTATATTAAAAACTAAAATTTATTTGTTTGTAAGCTTAAAATATTTTTATTAACAATATGTTATTAAAAATGCATTTATAAATAAAATACAAAACTGGGATTGGTTATTTGTGGTTTAGCCTAGTGAAAAGTAAATTCGGAGACAAATAAATTCGCCTTCCATTGTTTTTTGACTTAAGTTGCCTCTCCTAGAACCAATTACCGACGTAAGGCGAGGTATATCTGTATTTGATTTAGCTATGTGATCAGCTTATGCAATGAGTTTTATTCTGACCAAGTCTATATGAATAGGCATTTAAAGTTTTTCATGGACACTTTTGGTTGGTATACCAATTGAGAATGGGTAACACATCATAAAATTTTGGCTATTAATTTAGTCTTGACAATTTTTAACTTGCTGTATCTTATCTTTAAAATTTTCCTTCAGCTTTTGAAAACCCTTCCCATACTACAACTTCAGTTGGATGCTCTCCTAGAATTTGATGTAAGTTTTTCAAAATTTTTAATTATTTTTATTGTTGGATTTAATTACTGTTGTTATTTTTAGTGTACTTCAAATGATTTATCAAATGGCGTTATTAGTTGCTGCTTCATGCTTTTATTCAGGGATCTTATCAGATTATTTGCTTGTTATAATGATGGAATTATTAATCTTCTAGGTAAGTATAATTTCAAAATCTTTCAAAATAATGTTATCAACAATGTACCCTAAGAACTGATGATCGGTGTGCAAAGATAAAACAACTCTTAAAATTTTTTCACGCATCTGATTTGAATGATTGTTTGAATGGTTGTATTCCAAAGCTTTTACGTTGCATCAGTCATCCATTTAACTCCTGAAGAACTGGGGCATTTGAAAACATTCATGGTGACTTTTTTTCTTTGCACACAGGTAGGGTGTTGTTGACTACACACCAGTGTTGTATGGTGGTGTAATGATATCAGTCAGTTTATTCTATTGACATGGAATTTCATAATCAGCTTCATAAATTAACTTTTTCTTAATTTATGGATTATAATACATTGATTACGAAATTTCATGTCTGGTTTTGGAATACCTGATGATAATTTTGTAGTTATTTATGTATATATTTTAATCAATATTGTAACATTTTTTTTAATATTAAAACAGGCTATGCAGCAAAAGAGTAAACATGAGTCAGCTGATCTAGGTCTATGCCAGATGAGAATGAAGTGTAATTTAACATGAGAGTAATACTAGACTTAAGAGTGAGCAATATTGTTTTATTTTGTAAAAACAATTAACTTATGGTAAAGATGGTATAAAAACATTTTAGAAATGTAAACAATAAAACAGATCAGATTTATGTAGATAAATATCTTAACTCCCAAGATGGTAGCTACATTTTTTTTTCATTCCTTTTCTCTGATAAGCCCTTTCAGCTCAGGCTGACTTACGACTAATCTTTTGCTGCATGAACTGTAGTAAACATTTTATGCTTCATAAAACATTTTATAAAGAGAGCTATTTACATAAAAAGTTTGACATTGCTTAAACAAATGTTTAAATTAAATCTTTTAATCTTTAGTAGAATGTGCATTTTAAACAAAATGCAAATATTACTAAATTCTTTAATTTTTTTATTTTAGAGAAATATTTTGATATGAATAAGAAAAATTGTCGAGAAGCACTTGATATATATAAAAAGTTTTTAATTAGAATGGATAGGGTTGCGGAATTATTAAAAGTGGCAGAGGTATGTCTTATTAATGTATAATTACTGTCCTGAGTAGTTTTTCTATTTTACTTTTTAAATGATAAATTTCATCTTACAGAATGTTGGAATTGATAAAGGTGATATTCCAGACTTGACAAAGGTAAGATGTGCTAAATCTAACTTCTTAAATTTAATATATAGAAATTCATTTATGCTGAGCTAAAACATTGAGATAGTCTGTAACCATGCCCATCTTCTACACAGTTCAGAAATTTATTTTTCCTGTAGCTCATCCAGACATGTAGACACCTGAGTTTATTTGGCCTGACACCAGTGAGTCTGTGAAGTTTCAGGTTTTACCTAAACATGAGTTATTCAGTTTACATTTTTGTTTAATTTTTAATTTATTTTAATTTTTATTTTTTAAAACATTTTTAGTTTTTAATTTTATTTTAAAATTTTAGTTATTTTAATTTCTCACTCTACCAGAAAACTGACATTTAATTTTCTTTTTTTCTGAATTTTTATTTTTGTTTACAAAAGTTTATAGGTGCATTCAAATATTAACTTACATTAAAACTTAGTGCCTGAGATCACTCTTTTCATCATCCACTCTGAACTCATAGGACCTTGCATATAAACTGCAATACCATGCATGCCATTAGCTAAGTATCACATGCACATTCAGAAAATTTGGTTTATTGCCTCACTAGCTCCCCAACCTACCATACATAGGCTGTTGAACAATGACAGATAAATTTGAATTGCTGGAAAAAATCAATATATACATCATACCTTTACAGCATTCTCTTGAGAGTAACAATCAGTTATATTATAGCTACTACCAGAATGCTACACACTTCTCAAAGAACATCAAGGAGACACATGAAATAATAGGTATACTAGGAAACTAGCCAAGAGTCCTGGACATGATTATGAACCCCTCTGGTCCTGTGCAACAATTCTTAATGCCAGGATAGAACATTATTCCTATGGGAGACATTTTATATCTCCTCCAACCTATGTAACAGCAGCATCCTCAATTCCCAAACTATGGAGCATGTTACTTTATAGTTCTATGATTTTATAGTTGATTGATTATAAAAAAGCACTTTTTTTATTAACAAAATATTAAGTTTTTATATTTAATAATTTAAAATGTTTATTATAACTTGAATATATTAATTCCATGAGCATGTAGCTGGAACATTTTTAAAGTGTTACCAATTATCTTTCAGTTTTAAACTAGTCATAAACTATTACTTGCAACTATGAATAAAATGTCAATTTTAATGTAGAAATACAGTGCATCACTTAACATTCATACTAGATAAACATTTGATGTGATGTGCATTTAATTTTCTAACTTGTGGTGGTGGTGGTTAACAATTTGTTGCAAATTGATCATTTTTGATTATTACATATGCAGAGATGCCATACACTATGGATTTTCCATACTTTCTACATAAGTCACATTTAAATGAGCAATTATTTACTGTGGCACTGTCACAATGCTAGGCTGCAATTTTTTAATCAAAATCTTAATTTTTCATTTAAAATATATGCTCTCCATCTCAAATTAGTACTGTAGTGTCTTGCCTTTGGCACGACTCCACTGTTATCTGAAAAGTGTGATGTACAGTCATTTATTAACTGCTTTCAAGGGAAAAGTTTTGAATTGAAAAAACATGACTTTCAGTTTGTGTTGGATGTTTGTATATATTTAATTGGGGCCTCGTGCCCCTTAAGGTTTCCATATCTGATCTCAGCTTTTATCTATTAACTTTGTCTTTCCTTAATCTTGAGAATGAACAGATGAACAACAGTAGGAATTTATAGGTCTACAGTTTTTCAAATTGCAGCCCAATTCTGGACTTATGGATAACACTCTACAAATCTTAGCAGCGGAGCACTACCTATTTATCCTACTGCTGCTGATGGCCCTCTTTGCATAGTATCTTTGCATATGGATTAACCAAATAGTTTAATATTACTGGTTTAAGCTATGACTTATGGTATCATATTAAACAAGTTTTAGTATGAAAATACAATACCATGATCATTTTGAGATGACTATATATACTTGGTTTTCACAAAGTTTACATATGTGAGAGTCGAACTTAGTGGAATAAATTGTTAAATATTTTTTTTTTACGAGGAACAGTTTAGAGAAATAAACAACAAACCGATGTTTAAAAATAACATAACTTTTTCCCACGAACTTAATTCCGTATTGAGGATGATACATCCAATGTGTCACCTGGAATCTATGAAAAGACGAAAGAAAACAACTATTGGACGGAGGCAGTGGGGAAAACCCAAAGACGACCCCCTTTATAAAAAGGAGGGGTCGATGCATAAGAGTCAGTCTCTGGAGTTTGGTGAACTGTGGATTTACATGAACGGATTAGCCGCTACCCGGAACTATTCCAATCACCACCGTTCGGGAGAATCACCGTCTAAAGAAATATTAACGTTTGAAAGAACTTTGTGCCACATAGAGACTCGGACTAAATGTCTATTCGACAACTTATATCAAGGTATTCATCCTCGCGCGAAATACATGTGAGCGCTCTCTCATAAATACAGGTAATTGGGGAGGAAGTAGATATGTTAACTGAATCGATTGTATATAGCTTAATGCCTGTTTATTGTTCTCTTTATGTATAGATTATGTAGAGTGAAATTCCTCTGATTCTCTCTTTACGCCTCCATCTTGGAACTGAGTCCACATACGCGACTGCTCGCGCGTAAATTCGAACGTAACGGTCTCTGTCTACCCAGAAGACAGTGGTGTCAGTCTCGATAAATTTGTCATTGCCATCTTCGCCGACGCAATGTCGACCCTTCGGCATTGTCACACATAAAATGACCTTTTGGTAGTGTTAAACTAAATTTGGTTAGACACTCAAGTTATTAATTGCAGCAGAAACTTTTAATAAAATATGGTCAAAAAACATTGTAATTACTTTCCTAAAATAGAATATAAAATGAATTAAATTATTATTCTGTTTGATCTCAACTTGAAATGTTCTAGAATCTACATTTGAAATGTAGAAAGCTAAACCATTTAGATTACAAGTAAACAAAAACTATAAAAAAGCTCAAATATAAAATACATAAATAACAGAGGACAAATATGGTCAGTACTCCTAAAGGTTTAACTCAAACTTTTCCATGCTGCAAACAGGGTGTTAATGTCTTTGTGATTTGATAGCTCACTCAAGACTCTAGTTTGTAAGTATATAATACCTATGCATATAGGATATGGTGTCGACTCCACACTTTCTGAATGATTTTGGCCTGGCCACAATGCTGATGGAATTGGAGAGGCATAAGCTACAAGAGCCATTGCTGAATTAGTCTTCCTGATATCATCTTGACGTTCATGACCTAAACATGACATCCCAAGATCTCATTTAGATATCTTGGGATGGCCCACCATAGTACTTGTATGTCACATATGCTGTTTTTGTGAGTGATTAGTTATAACACCAGGGATGTGCATCAGGTTGGGAGATTGTCCTAACATATGATTATAGTATGGTTTCTTACAAATGGCATAGCTACCAACCACAGGATTAATCTCCTTGTAGATGTTAGAGAGAAGCATGGTGAACTATCACGTTTGCCCTTTGGATTATTTGGTTTGTCACTTGGTCCCACCCAAAATCCTTTACCCAAAGATTTTGATCTTTGATGAATGGTTTGGTTTAAAATCTAAGGATTTGATGTGGTCCAACTTGTGCATTTTATGTCCTGACATTCTATGCAGGCTCTTCAAATCAGATCTCTAAAGGCAGCTAGCTTGAGTGGATTAAGAGACCCAGGTGATAAAAGTGAGTTTTGGAAGGGCTTTCTATAAATGTTGGTAGAGAGAGATGTCTGGAAAGTATGCTTTAGTGTCATTTTCTTGTCAATTTTAAAGTAAGGCCATGGGGTTAGTTTATCATTGATGAATTGCAGAATGTCAGGACATCTTCATATGAGTACGTCATCAATATATCTTGACAACTTGTAGAGACAAAGGATGGATGCATGCTAGTGCATCTAACATTTGCAGGATAGTGGACTCCAAGGCTCAGAGAACCTTTTCAGTGTCCCAGAAAGGGTGACTTCACAGGAATACCTGTTCTGGACATTTATGGTGCTTTAAAGGTGAGAAAGAAAGAACAGGTAGTCAGATATGCAAGTTCCAAGATCTGTAAATGTAATGATGCAAAGTCCTAGAGATGATAAAAGCAAAGTTCCAATCTGATGGAGGAATACAAAGCCTGAAAATCAAGGACTGTTGTGCTCTTCATACAGGGCAAGGTTTTGTAGTTTTCTGATGAGGACCAAGGATTGTGAGATTGTGTTTATATGGAGGAAGGTGCTGAGTTAAGTGTTGAGCTTGTGCTTGGTAAGGATAGAGGGAGAGCAACTGCTGTTGACGAGCCTCAAGCTCATTCCTGTTAGTGTGCCTTAAAATCAAACAATCTTGACATGGAAGGAAAAAGAACAGAATTATCCATATGGAGTTTGTAAGCCAATGCTGTATGAGTGAAGTGTTTAACCTGCTCTGTAACTGGAGAAGCATCATACAGTCAGTAACAGAGATGTATTCAAGCAACACTTGAGTGTAAGTGGTTCATGAGAGGAACCAGTCCTTTGATTTGTCTATATGTACCAGGATAGCACTATTCATAAACTCCCAAAATTGGAACAACAGTTTCTATCTCAAAATTAAACCTTAGTATTTTCTCCAGTACTGTTTAATAAATATACAAAGTAAATGTCACACCAGAAACATTTGCTTTTACTAAATAGTACTGGAATAAGTACTGAGATTTTATTGAGATTGTGACTTTTCGGGTCAGCACCTCCTTAGTGCCCTGTCAGGATTGACATTGTGTTTAGCAGAACATGGAAGCCAAGATGGCGATTACGTCACACCGTCGTGTGAGTGGTCCCGTACGTGGTCAGATGGATTCTTAATGTGAGATTGAGAGACAGCATGTGGAAGTGACTCAGATAGACTTAACACTTTATCCAATTTATATATAAATAAACCCTTGTTAATTGTTGTCGCAGAGAGAGAGTTCACACATGGTTCGCGTGGTGATAAATACCTTTGGTAATAGATATCCTGGTCGGGTTGTGTTGAATCGGAGAACAAAGTAATAGTTCTTCTTATGGGCTTTTTCAGGATGTATCCAGGGGTGAAATATCCAGTCAAAATGTCCCTTTTGATTTTATCCAGGCTCTATCGTGCACTAACACACACACAAAGGTTATCCTATGAGTGACGATTAAATGGGTGACGACAACTTTCTTCTCAGAGGACTAAAACGGCAACTGTCTCTTTTCGGCTGTCTCTGGCAATATTCACAAACGATTTCAGCCATGCAGAGGTTAATAGTTCACGAGAAAGTGTCATGTTGCCTTCAAGAAAATGTAACGGGAGACTTTCTCAGGTAACTACGAACAACAGTCATTACGTCTCTTGAACAAGGTTAATATGAAAGACAGCAGAAATTCCTAATTTAGAAATTATCTCACAAGACAATGACTGCACTGTTGTTTTTAAGCCACTTCTTGCTGGCTGATATTGAACCCCTGCAGGATTTATGGATTTATATACATTATATGACTAAATTTAGAGGTGAGAACTGATACTCTTTCAGAAATATACACAGTGGTACCTTGTACTTTTGCATTTTAACTCTGGAGCATTCATGTTTGGCATCTATACGTTTACATAGACCTACAAGCAATAAACCTTTCACTTGTACATCAAAGTCCCTGGACTCTCAATATCCTGCAGTGGCTCTATCTAGCTGCTGATATTCATTTCAACTTAGAGTTACCCAAAAACAACAATTATTCAAGAACACTGGATCTCTGTATAGACATACATTATCCTTATATACAGATGATTCAAAATCAACAACTGTAGGAACAGCTTTTGTCTGTATTGAGGCTGTCTATGCTGCAGGGTTGCCTGCAGAAACAATAGTTTATACTGCAGAGCTATTTGCAATTTTCATTTTCTCCAACATGTACAAAGACACAACCAGAGACTATAATATATACAGACAATTAAATAATGTTACTACAGGTAATTAATAGCTGTAGGATAACCACTCAGTCAGAAGCGTACAATATCTACTGTCTTAAATTTGCAGGAAATATGATAGCCTTCTTACTAGTTGCCTGGACATACTGGACTCAAATGAAATTAAATTGCAGACACTCACAAGACAACAGAAACCAAGCAAGAACTTTCCGACTATACTATAAAGACTTCCTACAGCTATGTCAACAAGTACATATACAACAAATGGCAAGAGGACTGGAACAAACAACTCAACAATAAACTACACACCATTAAACCAGAGTTATTAAAATAGACAACCAATCACCAGGAAAACTGGAAAGAAGAAATTGTACTTGCCCATCTGATAACTGGATACAAAATTAACACACCTATTAACAAAGGAAACCCAACCAATATGCTCAACAAGCCAAATCCCACTTACTATCTGACAAACTGCATATTAATGTGCCCTCAGTATAAAACTGCCAGATACCTTCGACGACAAATACCTTCAGACCACAAAGGTCTATGGAATATACTAGATGATAACAGACATATTCAACCTACAATGGCATATCTGAAGGCAATAAACCTATATACAGAACTCTAGAACATGCATATTAAGACCTAAAAGGCCTGGCAATAAACCTGGCACACTTTGGCCTGCCTAGGCCCTTGTCACAAACCTCAACTCCAACCTATTCATATATGACAAATTCACTCTGAACTTTGAAGCATCATCAAACTCCAAACTGTGCAAGTAATGGAAAAAAATGTGATTGAAGTGTAAATATAATCTATGTCCAAATTATCTCTCATGTTTAGTTCAGTACTTTTTTTCACTTTATATATAACCAAAACACACCAGAAAATAGTGTTTTGTCAATTTTTGTAAACAACTTATTCCTGCAATTTTTCTTTGACAGCTTCTGGTCACCCTGTATGTACATCTTGTATTCAGGAAATTTTTTTAGTTCAAAATTTCCTGAATGGAACTTTTAAATCACATTTGAACATGTTTGAAGTTTAGGAGCATCTTCCCCATAAACATGAATTTTTTACTGTTTGTACTGCATTGTCCTTTCTGAAACTCAAAGCATAATATGCCTGATTATGATTTTTATCTGAAGACATTCACCTTGATTTTACTCAAACAAAATATACAGTAAAGTCTAAAATAAACTTTTAAATGAAGAATACAATCCCATTAGAAATATGTTAGATGCACAATTTATAACATTTGTGAAATTTATGTTAAGATATGACAACTATTAAAAATACTTTGTTCAACCCATAACTTAACTATGACATCCAAGAAGAGAGTGATATTACAACCTTCCTCTTACACTTCCTTGCTTCCAATGGTTTAGATGAAAAAGAACTTGTACTGCTTTCATGCTTTGTAATATGTGGTGGATTTGGCAGTTAAGTTTAAGATGCTGAAGTTGAATGTGCAAACAGTAAATACAACTTTTATTTTATTATACAGTATTTGTGTATTTCATCTATCACTTTCATGTTTTAATTTATTTAGGCACTTGTTATTTTTAGCTTAAATTATGTGTTTGCTGTTTTAAGTTTATTGAAATGGATATTGTGTAGGATCTGGAAATGGATTAAGTTACTTTCTATTATTTCTAATATGAGAGAATTTATTTGGTCTTTGAATGATTTAGGGTTTGAATGGCCTCCTGGAATGAATTAAATTTGAAGTAGATGCACTAGTCTCATCAAATTGATTTAATTGTAGGAATAAAAACTATAATAGTTTTTAAATAACTAGATTTGATATTGATGCTGTGACTTTTTTAATTCAATTTATTTGAAGCTAGCTGACTCATATGCTCTCTCTCTATATATAATTACATTAAGATTTTAATTTTATAAAAGTAATTTATAAAAATGACTTTATTTTTGCTCCATATATATATATATATATATATATATATATATATGTATATATATATATAT